GACGGAAAAATTTAGCAGATATTACTAAAATAATTTCTGCTAAAAACAATAAACCAATCTCCAAAAGGACTATTCGCTGTGCACTTTATGAGGAAAATGTGTCTTCTTATATTCCTCGAAAGAAACCTTTAATTTCAGCAATTAATAAGACTAAAAGGCTTGCATGGGCAATGGAAAGAAAAGATTAGACCATTGAAGACTGGAAAAAAATAGTCCGGATAGACGAGTCCACTTTTTCTCAATTTCACAAATCTGGATGGGAATGAGTGTAGCGATAACCAGGAGAGGAATTTCATAAAGATTGTATTGCATCGACTGTAAAAGGATGTTTTGGGCATATTTTTCCTTTTTAAAGTTAGAACCCATTATACCACTTAAAGGTTCAGTTACTGACAAAGGTGTTCTTATCACTTATACAGTTTCAATGCTCAGGAATTTTTCTGAAAAACAAAAAAAAAATTATTTTATCAAAAAAAAAAAAATGAAAGATGATGAAAATGGACTCTATTTATTTATTTTTTTTTTCTTTATATTACCAAGTGCAAAATCAAAGAATAATAGTTGTACAGCACAGCAAATTCAATAATAGGCACAAATTATTTATAATTTTTGACAAGTTTCGTATTTACGTGGCAAATGTTAAATTAAAAGTTTCTTTAGACAACCCATTTGGAGATTTTATATGATTGAATGAATAATTTATTTGATAAGGAGTACTTTGGTTTTCGTAACTTAACTCAAAAGGAACTTTAAATTACGGAAACATTTCCGCGGTATCACGGTCAAAAAAATTACCGTGTCACAAGATTTTAATTAACAGCACTTATCGGATATTGCAGATGCCAAGCTAGTATGTTTTTATAAGTCTTAATGAAAATATTATACTTACTTATAATTATACTTGTAAAAGTTTTGATGGATGCGCCAAGAGGACTAAATTTGATTGAAAATGCACTAGCTTGGTTAAGTCCACAGTAATGATTGTTATATCGTTATATCATAAATAATATCCTTATTTATTTCGTACACTTAATCGTTAATGAACTTATTTACAATTAATGAAATGAGATGAAAATCAGCGATACTTTACAAGAAATATTTATGTCCGAAATTTTCGCAATTCAGTAAAAAGCCCAGTATTTTAGTCAAGATGCATTTCTTTTTTTTTTTAAAAAAAAAAGGAGAGTTATCATCATGCATTAAAAAAAAATGCAAATAACATTGCGATATCATACAGATGATTTTTTGTGCACGCGATAATTTAATTGCACGGAATCATTTTTTTTTTTTTTTTTTTGAATTTATAAAATAGCACTTTAATACAGCACAAGGAAATGCAAAGAACAAAAAATTATTTTGGTTAATAAGATATATATATATTTTTTAATATTCCTCGGAATGATTTCTTTTTCATATACCCAAGAAAATATAAAAGTTGAAACTTGACGAACAATTTTAAACGATATTTAGGTTCGCTAATTGATTATCGGACTCGTTATATTTATTTACTTTGTAGAACATTACCCACATTATGTTATTAATACCTTACTTATTGTTTATTATCTATACATGAGGAGCGTGATAAGGTAAAAATTTACATTTTAGTAAAAAGTATTGTTTAATTAATGATTTGTAAGTGTATAGACGATACCATAAAAATTATTTTGTGTTCAATTTTCTTGGGGAACTGGACAGCAAGAATGGAGGGTAGTGTATAGCATTGAAATATAGCTCAAGCCACGCTTGCATTACAATAAAGAAAAAGATAGTTTGAGGGATAACGATGGTACCTATAAGTCAAATAGGTAATAAATATTGCCATTTGAGCACACGCTTTGGTAAACTGGGGCACACGCATTGTAATAGGTAAGCAATTCCCCTGCTTTCTGAAGCTGTGTCTGCGACATATGATCTACCAAATCAAATAAATCGTTTATGATTTACAATCGAATTTAACAACACGTTATTGTTATATTGCTCAATAATACAAAAATTTCTCAACACGACATACAGTATACCGCTAGTGTACCACTTTGTACTCCAATGTAGAAGGTTTTGTGCTAATTTTGGTTAGTAACGATCGAGTTGAAATTACGAATGGTGTAATTATAATGAACTGCTTGTAAACTGAAACAATATAGTATTACTTAATAGAAGGATGGACGAGCAATCTTAAAGAATTTCTTGAATGGATAATCTAGGAAAATCCTAGTAGATAATATCTAGAAATCTTTTTAATTTTTTTTTCAGACATATTTAAGAATTCTTGATTCCAGTCGGAATTACAAACTACAATTTCGTAAAAGTTATGCTTTATTTTTTGTGTCATTTTATTAAGTTGATATGTGTGTGACTTATTTTACAAAGTGTGCCATTAAAATAATAATTATAAATAAAATAATATATATATTATATATGATACATGGTATAATCATTTTAATCGAAACCGATAGTGATATCGGGTAATTTTAAATCCAATAGTGGAAAATGTATGCTATTTGTGTGTTCTCGATGCAATGAATAATTCGTTTTTCTTCTACCCCATACATTTTGAAATTGTATTAATTTACTTTTGAAAATAGCTTGTTCGTTCTTAGCGGTCGAATTCCTCTTTTCCATTATATCAGGGAGAAGTGTGTCAGCTTTTAAGAACGAATTTCGAATATGTACGTTCTTGGGATCATCTGTGTTCATAACAGACCACCAAGAGTTAAAGATATATAATAAATCTTTGATTTTAGGGCGTAAAAAAGGGTCCGTACTACAACATTTCCTTGCTAGATCCGCATAAACCTTGGGAGTTCCTTGGGCCAATTCGGGACGTAATCCCTGACAAATTTCTAAAGCCAATTGTTCATTATGTGGAAGATGCGAGAAAGGTGGAATTCCCGTGGACAATTCAATCATTAATATTCCAATGCTATAAACATCTGATTCCTTCGATGGTGCGTTTCCCAAGATGACTTCTGGAGCCAAGTAAGGTAAGACTCCATACACATCCCTCTCAAAGTTATAATTTAAATCACTTGCAGGGAAATTTAATCCGGTATCGGCTAAAGCTGATGTAGTCTCCCTCGTCAATTCACCAATTTGTAGAATGTTTCCGGAATGAATGTTTCCATGCACGATACCCTCCTTATGTAATGTGAGTAGATTTGACGCAATATCACAAAGCCACCATGATTTATCGGTCCATCGAAATGAAGAAAAGTGACTATGCAATAGCGTACGTAAAGATCCGTGTTCGCTGTATTGCGTTATGATCACGTACTCTCCGGTGGTTGGATCTTGCGATATCCCGTAGAATTTGAGTTGTTGTTGCATTCGTTTTCGTGATTGAACCATACTAGTTTTGTAATACGACTTTAACTAAATTAATAAAAAGAAATATTAAAATTGGTTCACGAGACATAATGAATGACATGATCGTAACGTGATTTTAATAGCAAAAATCGCCCATATCTTTTAACTTACCCGTTTTAAATATTCATCAGACATCTCTTGAGAATTTTTGATGCATTTTAACGTGACCGTAATCGGACCTGTGCGCGTCTTTTGTGATTTATTTTTCTGTCTGCTAATATAAAACACAAAAAGGATTAGCTGTGCTACCTTAATATGATTAGATTTTTTTTAAAAAAAAAAAAAAAATTTTAATTAGAATTACCTTCCTTGGATCCAAGTAGCACGATAGACAATACCAAATCCCCCTTCATCAATTTTGCACACATCCTTGAAATGTTCAAAAGGAATCCATTCCAAGAAAGGATCAGTCCAAGAAGTTGACTTTTTTTGGGTACGGAGGATTAATTTATCGAGACCTCGATGACCCGAATTCACACTTTTCATCGTACATTTTTTACACCATCCATCGATACTCAGATATCGTTGAATATGTTTACAAGATGATGAGTGAAGAGGTTGCGGTGGATGTGAGGTTGTGTGATTATTTGATGAGTTTGAATTTCCCATCTTTGTGATAAAGGATATGAAAATATTTTCATAAACCATGTTCCTGCACGTATTGAAAATTAAAATGAAATTTTTTCGGTTAAAATCTCGGATATAATCATCAGCTGTCCTTATTTTTTATATTAAAAATTTAGATTTCAACGTGGGAAAATCAATTTTTACCTGATATATTCCATTGGGACCGCTGCAAATCTTTTTTTGAACTTTCTTTTTTATAGAATGAAACAATAATAATACATTAAGACCGGATTTGGGTCTTCAATTATTAGAAAATAGGAATATTTCTGAAAATTGAAACCGGTACGTCCTAGCACTTCTTTTATAGAAACCTAAATCATATTTGCAAATTTATCTACTGCGGGCTAAAAGGACAATATTAACAATCATCATTAATTAACTGTATTCAATTATTTGTTTACTTGCATGAAAAAAAAAATTCCCCCTATTTTTTTTGAATAATATAATTTTAACCTTACATGTCTAATTGTGATACGTAATCCCATTTAAGAGCGGCTTCTTTGTTTGGACAATAGTAATTTCAATAAATTTGAGTTGGAAAAGAATAATGTTTAAACTTTTATCATTGGTAATATCGATTTTTTTTACAAAATGTAACGAGAATCATCTAAATCAGCCACACAAAAAAGTTACCGATTATGTGAAATGTGAACACAGAAGGTTTGTTTACAGAGAGTAATGTGGTACTCATCATTCACAAATGCTATTTTTGTAATTATTTAGTTAAAAATTTGAAACAAGTGGTTTAAAAAATTATGTGATGAGAAATGCAGGTTTTTCCTACTAACGTAAATGAGCAACAACACCAAAATAAAGTTACTGGGAACCGTTTAATAATGTGTAATTTGACTTTTTGGACACATTGTTTAAAAACTATTTAGATTTTTGATTTTAAATTTTAATTAATTTGTTAATTAATGTTTAACATTTCATATTAAATATGAATAATTTTTGGATGATTCAAAATTAAACACTGATTGTGTACCAATTGAAATAGTACTACTCCCTTGCTTTACTCATGTTCTGCAATGTAAACATGAGTCGTGTAAGGGAAGGGATTACTATTTTAATTTGGTGCATAAGCAATGGGCATGTCGTAGATCAATGGATGATTTAGAACTTTGATGTGTTGTTTTTGTTAATTCTCATCCATAATAACCGTAATATTTATCATTTTTCGAATCCTTCATAATAATAAATAGAATATCAAAAGGTTAAATTGTTAAATTGAAATAATTACTTTGTATATAAGCTAATTAAATATATATTTAAAACTTTTAGCATTATCTTTTTAATATTATCTCTTTTAAATTTACTTGGCAATTTTAAATCTTTTTGATTAATTTTAATATTATATTCTTTTATATTATTTTAATGGTTTTTATTTAAAATATTAAAATATTTTTTAAGTAAATTATAAAAAAAAATTAGAATTTTTTTTATATTAATTTAGAATTAAAATTTTAATTTTAAGGTATTTTTTTTTTAAAAAAAAATACAGTCAAATCTATTTATTATAGTACTTATTTTGGTTTTAAAAATTAGATAATTATAAATAAGGTTAATTATATATATAGTTTTATTAAATATAACCACTTATGATATTATAAATAGTGAAACTTTTTAAAAAAAAAAAATGATAAGATAAATCAATTGATTAATAATTTCTTTTTAAATGTATTTTTTTTTTTAATGTGAATTTTTATAATTTATAAAAAAAAGTTATCTTTTTAGTAAATAATTTATTTTTTTAATTTTAATTTTTTTTTAGATACATTTTTTAAAATTACTATTACATTATAATAAAAATAATTATGTTACTAATAAAACAAATATGATCAATTAAAAAAATGAGATTATTAAATATTATACTTTTAAAAGTATATATTGATTTAAATGATATTATTTCAAATCAAACCTGTATCTAATTTTTTTATTAGTATTTAATTTAATGATATTTTTTTTAGATAATTTAATTATTAATATATTTGTATTTTTTTTGAATAAATTATTTTAAATCTGATTCTTTAAATAAGATTTAATATATTAAAAAATCGTTATTATTAAATTTTAAGATAAATCTTATAAAGGATTAAATTTTTTATTTTTAATAATAAAATATTATTTATATAATTATTAGCATATAATAAGAAATAAAAAAAAAATGAATTAAATATTAAAATTATATAATTTTATGATCAATCTATAAATAATATAAAATATTATATGAAATATGATTATAAATAGTTTATTAATTAATTATTTATAGATCTCTGAATAGGTTAGTTTGGATTAGGTTAATCAAATTATTTGAAATGATAGAATCAGATCAGATTAAACAAAAATCTGATCTAATTTAAATTTTTATTTGATTTGATCAAATTATTTAAGAAGAACAATTAGCTATTGTTAAAAAGAATGATAATAAATCATTTTTAGTTAAATGATAAAAACATTATTTTTGAATGATAAAATATCATTTAATAATGATAAAAATATCGTTCAAAAGTGATGATTGGTTGACCTAAATTTTGTCAGATCAGGTTAGGTTGATTTATTAACTTGATCTGATATTAATCTGAAATCTACTAATCTGACCTAAATTTTCAGATCAGATCAAATTAGATAAATAAATTGATTTAATCTGATCTGAATTTTCAGATCAGGTCAAATCAGGTAAATATATTGATCTGATTTAATTCAAAATTCTAATCATTTGATATACAAAAATTTTCTTTTTTATCAATAATAATATAATAATAATTATAAATAAAATATATAAATATTATAATTTTAAAATATTAAATTTAAGTAATAATAACAAGATATATTTTTAAATAAATAAGTCTATTTATATAACTTTTTTTAATAAATTTTTGAAGTTTTTTTTTTAAAGATAGATTAGATTAATTTTTTATTTTTAAATAAAGTAAATTTATTTTTAATAAGTTTTTAAATCATTTTTTAAAGAATAAATTCTTTATTTTTTATTTTAAAAAAATAAATATTTTTTTAAATTAAATAAGGTATTTTTCAAAAACTTTTTTTTTATTAAATTTTAAAATTTTATTAACTTAATTTTAAAATAAATTTAAACTATTTTTTATTGATTTAATTAATATAAATAGTATTTAATAAACTTAATTATAAATTTAATAACTAATTTATTTATTTTTAATTATTTAATTATAATTATTTTAGATTAATTTGATAAATTAAAAATAAAATTTTTAAATAAATTTTTATCAAATTTATATATTTTAAATTTGTTTAATTTTCTTAAAAAAAAATTATAATAAAATATATTAAATATCTTAAATATACAGTATATTATATTTTTATATTTTTTATTTATAAAATCATACATTACCTTAAAAAATATATGAATAAAAGTTCATGATATTAGAGAATGAAATAATAAAACATTACTCTTATATTAATCATTACTTATATATGAAACCTTTGCAATAAAAAGGGAGAAATAGCTGAAAAAAATCAATTTTACTTTATATATCAAATATGATTTTTAGATCAAAATATGTTTAGATTTAACATCAATTTAATTTTTTTTTTTTTAGCTATTTCTCTCTTTTCTATTATAAAGGTTTTATATACTTTTAGAACTTATAATAAATTACATATTCAAATATATAATAAATATCAAAGAATTATTTACCTTTTTAATGATCTTAAAGAAATTATTAGTTTAATTTCTCTTAATAATTTAAAAATCTATAAAAAACTAATTTATTACTTATCTAATCAAATAAGAAAAGTTTACTTAAATTTTTAATTTAATGCAATAATATTAAAATTAGTTAAAGAAGAAACAGTTTTTTAATAAATTACAAAATAAAAATTTTATCATAAATTGTAAGAAAATTTTACAAGATTTTTATAATAAAAAAGGATAGTTTTTGTATTTTATTTTAGTTTATACAAAATTCAATAATAGTCAAATCTGTATTAAAGCTTTTGATCATTAGTTATGTAATGCAAAGCAAGATACATAATTTATTATTTCATCTTTATATGAATAATAAAAATTCTTAATAAGAAGTCTAAATAGATAAGTATAATTTTAGACAATAGTTTCTATTATCACAATTTTGAATTAATAATAATGTTAAGTTATTGAAAGAATAGAATAATATAAAATTAAATAAATAAATATTTTAAAAGTAGAAAAGGTAAAAACTTCTATTGATTCTTATAATATATAAGTATATATAAATTTTTTAAATTAATTTTAAAAATTTTCTTTTTGAATCATTTTATTAATTGTTAAATTAAACAAATTTTACAATTAATTAAAGGGCATATTAAATTAGAATTTAAAATAAAAAATAGTAAAAATATATAAGAAGCAATTAAAAATATTGCTAGAATTTATATAATATATTTAAAACTTAATAGAGATAATATTAAGTAAATTTATTTTATTAAAAATTGATTTTAATATATAATTTAATATATTATTTTAAATAATAAAAGAAATAAAATAAAAACAATTCTTAGAATTTTCAATTATTTTGAATGAAGATTATTAGAAAAAGAAGAATAAGATGAATGCATATAAATGAGAATCTTATCTTATATTGGTAAATAAAAAACTTTTATTTTAAATCATATATCTAATTGATAAAAATAAAATATATATGCTACAACTTTAAATTTCCTTGCATGTGACATTAAAATTTTCTAAAGATACTAATATCTTATAATTTAAATAAATATTATGATTTCATTATACAATTTAATCAGAAAATTGATAAATAAAATTTATTTTTTAAATGTTAATATAAAAGATAAAATAACTGTAAAAAGGATTGAAAAATTGGAGAATAATAATAAATGAAAAAAATATTATATAAAAATAATTAAATTTTAGAAAATAAAATGACAAAGAAAATGCAAATTAAAAAAATTGATAAGTTTAAAAAATCCAATTATATGAAAATATCAAATAATGAGAATTTATT